TGATAGACCCATACAGACATAAAATAAAGTAGAACCAGGAAAATAAAGTAGAACTAGGAATGTATCCTAGTAGATCAGTTGAATAAAGACTGTGGACTGTAGACAAATCGCAGAAGAACTTGCTTTTAAGGGTTAATTTTACGAAAAGCTAGAGGAACTCTTCCACCATTCAGCTTTTTCCTTCGGCAGCCAGGCACGCCCCCAACTAGGGTAATTTTTTGTACAGCTGTTTATCTCCAATCTCTTACAACAGATTGTGCACACACAGCTTTACACTACACATTTTAATTTTGCAAACCAGTGTATATTGCTGCAACAAAAAAGTGAAAATAAATGTTTTTGATACATTCACCAAAAATAGCAATGCACTTTTTACTTCAGCTTTCAATGTATTTTATTGTTACAGTTTGCTTTTTTCTTCTGTGTATCTCATGGGGGACAGTTTAGCAGCCCACCAAATGGCATAACACCCACAAAACAAGATATCGTTTGTAAAGTAGAAAAACTATAGTTAGGTGGGTTATTCTGCTTTCTTTAATCTGTCACCACTTTTGCCAAAGAACATGGTTATATTTTCTCAAACATATTTCATTGTAAAAGTTTAAACTTCAGTCACATCACCTGAATTTATGAAGGTGAGAATTTATGCAGTTGTCAAGTTTTTGTTAGGTTGCTGGGCTAAATTATAGACCTATGCAATTCATTTTTAAAATGTGGAATGTTCTCTGATGTCCTGTGCCTGTGTTATATTTTGGGACATTAGAAGCTAATAAATTCACATTACTCTTTAAATGCATATAATAAGCTATGTGCTTATATAGTAAAAATAACAAAATTGTGCTCAAATATATCTACTAAGTACAATCTACTAATGATAACCCATATACATTAAGTACGTTTTTAAAGACGCTACAGGACTAAATTAGAGAACTGCCCATTTTATTTACTTTTTTAAACTTACAATCAGTGGTGTATTCTGGTTTTGTGCTGCCCTAGGCAGGACAAAACTCAGGCGCCCCCCAACCTCCCCCCCCCACCGTGCGCGACCCCCACCCATCCCTTCCCCCCTGCGCGCGCGATTCCCACCCATCCCTTCCCCCGCCTTCTAAATACACACACACACACTCACTGACAGATACGCGTACACTGCTAACAGAAACACAAACACACTGACACACACAGTCAAACACACACACTCACTAGCAGAGACACACTCACAGACACACACTCACACACTAACAGACACACACACACTAACACTCACTAACAGACACACACTCACTAACAGACACACACACACTCACTACCAGACACACACGCTCACTAACACTCACACACTCACACACTCACACACACTCTAACACACACCACTAACAGACACACACACTCACTAACACTCACACACACTAACACACACTCACTAACAGACACACACACACACTCACTAACAGACACACACACACTCTAACACACACTCACTAACAGACACACACACTACACTCACACACTCCTACACTCACTAACAGACACACACACTCACTAACACTCACACAACGCACACTCTAACAGACACACACACACACTCACTAACAGACACACACACACACACTCACTAACACTCACACACACTCACTAACAGACACACACACACACACACTCACTAACAGACACACACACTCACTAACAGACACACACACTAACAGACACACACACTAACAGACACACTCACACTCACTAATAGATACACTCACACACTCACTAACAGACACACACACACACACTCACTAATAGACACACTCACACACACTCACTAACAGACACACACACTCACATTAACACATGTACTTTTTAAACCCCCCCCCTCCTCCAGCCTCCTTACCTTTGGGAGTGCTGGGGAGGGAAGGGGTTCTCTATCTCCCTGGTGGTCCAGTGGCTGTTGGGTGGGCGGCATTGGCGGGCTGGCGGGCGGGCGAGGGAGCTCTTCCTGTGAGCTGACTGCTCAGCTCCCTCGCGCGCCGCCCGCAGAGTGAGCTGAGCAGACAGCTCACAGGAAGAGCTCCCTCGCCCGCCCGCGCCGCCCACCCAGCATGTCTGTTAGCCGCGAGGCTAACAAGACATTTGCCTTGGGCATTTGGGGGGCGGCCCCTGAAAAATGCCGCCCAAGGCAAATGCCTTGTTTGCCTCGCGGCTAAAACGCCCCTGCTTACAATACTGATGTGGGGTCTGGGTTTGCATTTTAAAGTATCCTAGTAGATCACAAATGTAAAGTTATCCGCAAATGCATAATGCAAAAACATGCACTGTGGGATATCTGAAATTGTGTTTTTTGTTTAGTTTTTTGGTTATTTTAGTTGTACTTTGTGCTACTGCTTATTAAACTTGAATCCTAGCTTCATCACTAACCATACCACTTATATTAAATACCCTAACCCTTAGCTAACTCTACCACTAACCATACTGTTAACACTAACCTAGCACTAGCCTTCCCATAGAGATAGGATTAACCAACACTATGTCAACCCAAAGGGTTATCAGCAACACTAATAGAATGGAAGAATAGAATTGTTAGTATTAGGTGGCAGACAAAGATGCAGGTGCTAAAATGATATAACTCATGTTATATCATCTCCCTTATGACTAAAACTTAATGTTTAAAGGAACACTATAGTCACCCACACCACTTCAGCTCAATGAAGTGGTCTGGGTGCCAGGTGCCCCAGGTTTTAACCCTTCAGATGTAAACATAGCTGTCAGGAAGACAGCCACTAGAGGCTGGATTAACCCTGCAATGTAAACTGCTATGTTTACATTGCAGGGTTAATCCAGCCGATAGAGGCGCTTCTGCGACGCTGGATACGAAAATCGCATTGAGCACGCAGAATGTCCATAGGAAAGCATTGAGAAAGGCTTTCCTATGGACTGTTTGAATGCGTGCGCAGTTCTTGCCGCGCATGCGCATTCCGCTCCACTAAGGAGCCCCTGAAGATATAGGGCCCATCAGGTGGCCCTAAATGCTTGGGCCACCTGGTGGGCCCCGGTGCAGAAGCACCTGCGGCAGTTTCGCCGATCCACGTGGGGCCCAGGCGGCCAGACCCCCCAGGGCTGCCGGGCCTGTGACAACCTTCATGGTTGTCACCCCCTGGTGGCAGCCTGGGTCTGGGAAGACACAAACCATACTGAATGCTCTCTTTTAACTTATAAATGATCAATGTCCAATTGTAAACTATGTTTTGTTTGAGTGTCTATGCAATCCTGCACTATGTTGTGTCGTTTCAGACAATTAGAGGATATCTTTGGGGTAGAGTCTCTAAAATGGAAGTTATTTTATAGTTCTCATTGTCAGTGAACACTTTATTTGTGAATTGTGAAAGTCACTATTATTTATCTTTGTTATGTTCCCCAAGCCTAGACAATTTTTGCAGTGTAACAGGGTGCATTATTCTGCTGAAAGAGGCCACTGATGTCAGGAAACATTGCCATGAAGGGATGTAAGTGGTCTGCAACAATCTCTTGGTAGGTGGTACGTGTCAAAGTAACATGCACCTGAATGCCAGGACCCAAGGTTTTCCAGCAGAACACTGCCCTGAGCATAACAATGCTGGCTGACATCTCTTCCCCAGATAAACAACGCACATGCACCTAGCCATTTACCTGATCAAATCAGTGAAAACATGATTCATTAGACCAGACAACCTACTTCCATTGCATCGTTGTCCGGTTCGTGATTCAATGCATCAATATGAGGAGATGCTAATTGGTGAAGCCTGGCGGTTTGCAGCGCATGCACAATAGCCTCTCAACGCTTTTCTATAGGAAAGCATTGGATTGGCTGAGATCATCAAGATTGCTGATCTCAGCTGTGGAGTCTGGGCCAGCCTATTGTGAGACAGGTTTGGCAAGGGAGAAAATATGAGGAAATTCACCTTTTCAGGGCGATCGGAGTGGGGCCAGTGCCCTAAACAGCCACACCAGCACTATAGCGTTATGAATACCTATTTGTATTCCTGACACCAGTGTTCTTTTAAATGTGATGCTCACTCCCCTGACTGCCCTGAAGACACATATTTACCTGTCAGTTAAATTGCACAGTTCATTGAAATTACAGACATCAACCTCAAGGTAAAAATCTAAATTATTAGGAGTATCTGGGAAATATTGTGAATTTGTGATTAATCCTGTGATGGAAATCAGAAAGGCGACAAATGACCTTGAGGATAGAAGTGCTGATACAGAAGAGCAATTAGATACAATGGCAGATGCCCTTGGTGCCGACAAAGCTAAGATAAATCATAATGCACATAAAATCCTGGTTTTAGTGGAGTAATTACAGACCATGGAAAATTCTTCAGAGTATTTTAATTTAAGAACAACACAAGAGCCCAGCAGGGATACTAAATGGAATGGATTACATAGTTTCTTTATTACATCCATAGACCAAGTTGTCTAGAGCTCGATCCTGTATAAGATGTGCTATGTGAATTGACTTGGAATAAACTGCACCGAGAGATAGATTTATGGTTTGTATTTGATATAAAGGAGCACAATTGGAAAAGTTAGACAAATATGTGGAAAATGATGGAACAATTTTTTTTTTCAGTCTGCATTTTTTAATAGACAGAGGGTGCCATTAGTTTATTCCTGTTTGTGCATTTTCTACTTATTAACTATGCTTTATATTACCGTTACTTTATGATTAACTAATAAGCAAACAAGCTACTTGATATACAGCTTTGCTTCCATAAGGCTCAGTTAGGTTTTGTTTTTCAGCTCTCGCTGGGCAAGTGCTATTATCTGCTTTCTGTGTAACACGGAGCTTCTTGCAGTGGTGAAGACACATACAGATATAGGTGTATGGATATAAAAAAATCTAACATAATGGGGGCCTCTCCTGACACTCAAAGTGAGAAGATGCATGTGGCGCTAGCTCTGCCGCACACAGACCTCCAAAGGTGAAATCCCGGCCCAATCTACACTAATTCCAAGAAATGTCGCAGCCCAAGAGCAAAAGGGCAACAGACCGGCAAGAAAAGATGGGTTTCTTTGACTCACGAGCGGGACAGGGGAAAAACCTCAAGCCGGCCCAAGATAATGATGGGGAAGAACCAGATCGAGCACAGAGGTCACAGATGCCTGAAACCCCACTCACGAGAAAGGCCCTACAGGGTATGATGTACGATATGTCAAATAAGCTACTCACCTCCTTGCAATCTTCCCTGGGGGAGATCAAACGCAAAATGAAGGACCTGGGGTTGCGGACATCTGCAGTGGAAGACCTAGCCACAAATGTAGATGACTTAAATGCACGGATGGACGCCTACAAAATCAAGATGGAGGACAGGGCCAATCTGCGGATTCCGGGCGTATCAGAAAGCCCTCATGCCACAGAAGGGTTTATAAACCCAAATGCAACAGAAAGAATTTTAATTATTGCATTAATGCCTTCTGGATTGTAATATCCACTATATATTAAAAGTTTTTAATTATAAATAAAACAGTGATAATTTCATTATTGTCAGATACATTTGCTGTTAAAAATCAGGAATTATAACAGGATACTATTTGGAGTCTGGGATTTCCAGCCAAGGTCACGGAGCAGCGGTTACAATTGGCGCCCAGTGAGTTAGAGAGACAGATAAACAATTCTTTCATTCCAAGGAATTGAGAAGTTTGTTTTTTTATTCCAAATTATAAACAACTTTACTACACACAGCCATAAAGAAAAAGACATGGCTTTAAAAAAAACATTCATTGCAGTGCAGCGCACTGGTGGCAGTTCGGGAGCTACACATGGGGCCCATCATGGTTGTCACCCCCTGATGGTGGCCCTGCCTGCAGTGGTAGCAGTAAGGACATTAGAACAATGATACTGTGCTGACTGCAATCAGATCAGACATATTTAATCTAAGTGGATTTCTCCACTAATAAAATGAAATATCAATGTTATTTTTCTTTAAATCAAAAGAATAAATACATATATAGACTAGGCCAGTGGTTCCCAAACTGTGTGCCACGGCGCCCTGAGGCACTGCAACGTGCACACAGGGGTGCCGCAGAATGTTTCCCTGGTCTGAAACAGGGGCCCGGTCAGGTAAGACCGCGACCGGGCCCCTGTAATGTCGGCTGGCTGGGAGCAGTCAAACACCAGCACAACATACAAGCACACTCCTCCAATCTAACGCAAATATTACATACACACATCCCTGCATTCAAACTAAATAAAAAATATACAAACACACCCCTTAACTTAAACACAAATACATCACTCAAATGTACATCTGCATTTAAAAGTGAGCATTACATTCAGACACACCACTGCAATCAAACGCAAACATTACATACAAACAGACCCCTGTATTAAAACACAATAACTATATACAAGCACCCCTTTAAACACCAACACTGCACATTACACTATAGCGCCAGTAAATGCCGCAGCGCTGTACAGATACGCAACCTAGAAATTTTGACTTGGGGTGCCTTGGAAAAATACTGAAATATTAAGGGTGCCTTGAACCTAAAACGTTTGGTTACCACTGGACTAGGCAATAAGATTTACATGCTGTACCAGGCTGCATTCAGTTTAAAAATCTAGAAAAAAGCCCACAGTCAACTACACATGATGGGTAAAATAATTGCTTCTATAAAAGCTATATGCTGCCGCAGTTATTTATATAAATACAGATTAGAGAACAGCGTAGAAATAAAAATACAGTTTTAAATTTTCAAAGGCTATTTAAGATCGCCCATCTCAACTCATGGGGATTTAGTTCCACCATACGGCCATATTGAGTTAAGACCACTACTCTACAGTACCCCAATATTGGTGCGTCCTACACTAATTCCAACATGGAATTAGTGTGAGTTAGTGCTGGGGCTGAAAAAAGCAAATTTGAATAATATGTTGTAAGAACATTTTGAATATATATTTAATGCAAAATTAATGTGATATTGCAAAACCTGAAATATTTTAAAATTCTTTATTTTGTCGTGCATTGGTTAAACAAAATACATTTATGCCAGCAATGCCACAACAGCAAATGCCAGTATTTTCAAAGCATGGATAAATAATCCTATGGCATGGATAGACTATGCACATTTTTTATATTATATGAGAGTAGACAGTAGTGTAGTGCAAATCTTAGCGTGCATGTAAGAGGTTAATCAGGCTTATCCGCTGGTAATGTGATATAACAGTGTAGCAGACGCTTAATGAGTGAGTAAATGCTTATTCCTGAGAAACCAACATTACACTTAGCTTAGTTACTAAGTAGCTCGATAACAATATTATGTGAGAACATCTGATACAGAGGCGGCTCTCTAATTAGGCGGTTTAGGCGGTCGCCTAAGGCCTCGCGCTGTGTGGGGCCTCGTGGCCGCCTAAACTGCCATAGAGCAGACTGACATGTCGGGTCCTCGAGGACCCGACACAGGAGGGGACCTGGCGGCTTGCCCTGTATCCTGCCGGGTGCGAGGCCCCTCCTGTAAGTCATAATACAAAAGAGGGGATCTGGATAAGGGAGTAACCCTAAGGTAAAAAGATACAAAAAAAGGGAGGAAAGAAAGGAATCTGTCTCTATACTATTAATTTGATAAAAATCAAGAGGATACTTTATTTATTTCAAAAAGGAAAGACACAATGAATAGATTAAGTGTAACTGTCTAACTCAGACAGATATATATGTGCAGGAACATATGATATTCGCTCTGAGGTTTGGACCATAGTCCTCTTAATAACCTAGTGATCATTTTGGGGGACTCCTTGAGAGTTGGCTGACTATGAGCCTATCTTGAGTGCATGAGAAGCAAAATACCGATCAGGGTAATTCACATAGCTTAGCGATTGGCTGCTACATCTTATATTTTGTAGCAATTCTAGAGCCTCTCACTTTCTCTATATTGACTCTCTTTGAACTTTACTGTTATCAGTGTCCACGAAGACACTATTCTCATTCCTTCTATCCTATCCGCTTCTATTAGGCGCTCTTTTTTTATACTGCTCAATCTCTCTGTTTAGCAGTACGATTTAGCCAGACTCTGTCTACATCGGACTGGTTTTCCAGGTCCGCTGTTTTCAGTGTGTACTGATTTAACACTGTCTTCCGTTAAGACTTTTATTCGGAACGACGTGTCACAATTTGTTACTATACACGTTGGTTCTATCACTGACTAATTTGCGATATACATCTAACAGGCAGACTCAGCTCTTCTACTTAGTAGTACAATTTTATTAGACTCCGTCTGCATCGGACTAGTCTCTGGGTCCTTTGCTTCTAGTGTATATTGTTCTGATACCGCCATCCGGTAAGATTCTCATTCGAAATGATGTGCTACTGTCTGTCACTGCATACATTGTTTCGATCAGTGACAAACTTGTGAAACATATCTAACAGGTTTATTCAGCTATTCTTTTGCACATCAGAGCCAGTTTGGCTTACACTTGATTATATTTTAGATCGTTTTGATCTCAACGGACATTTACACCGTACCCTATGTTTGCCTAGTCAGTGATCTTTTCTGCTTTAGTTTTCTTTCTCCTTTTAGAGTTTAGAGTCTCTAGTAGCTAAGCTTGTATGTTTGTTCTTTTATACCATGATTTTGTAGAGTGCTGACATGAGCTTTCCCTCCTGTAAGTCTGCCCGGGAGATCCAGCCTTCAGTCTGCAGCTCCGCCGGGTGTGAGCTGCAGACTGAAGTGTCTTGCGATCTCCAGCCAATCAGGTTACCACAGCAACGCTCTGACTGGAGATCGCGAGACATTCACCATGTAGTCTGCAGTTGTGCATCCGGCAGAGCTGCAGACCGGAGAGCCCACTGGACCACCAGGGAGTCTGCCACCACTGGAGCACCAGGGAGTCTGCCACCACTGGACCCCCAGGGAAAAAGGTACATGCCACCCCACCTGTCACCCCCCTCACCCTGTCAGCCCCTCACTCTGCCACCCCATCTGTCACCCTGCCACCTCACCTGTCACCCCATCTGTCACCCTGTCACCTTGTCACCCCGCCACCCTGTCACCCCATCTGTCACCTTGCCACCCCCTCACCCTGTCACCCTGCCATCCCACCTGTCACCCCATCGTCACCCTACAACCCACCTGTCACCATGCCACCCTGTCACCCCACCTGTCACCCCATCTGTCGCCCTGCCACCCCCCACCTCTGTCATACCCTGCTGGCTCCCCACCTGTCACTCCTGTTGTCACCCCACCTGTCACTCCTGCCACCCCACATGTCACCCCATCTGTCACCCCATTTGTCACCCTGCCACCCCACATGTCACTCCAACTGCCACCCTGTCACCCCATCTGTCACCCTGCCACCCCAACTGTCACCCCGCCACCCCACCTGTCACCCCATCTGTCACCCTGTCACCCCATCTGTCACCCTGCCACCCCATCTGTCACCCTGCCAAACCACCTGTCACCCCATCTGTCACCCTGCCACCCCAAATGTCACCCCACCTGTCACCCCATCTGTCACCCTGCCATCCTGTCACCCCATCTGTCACCCTGCCACCCCACCTGTCACCTTGCCATCCCACCTGTC